TAAATGATCTATTTATTTTCTCTTGCTTTTTCAACATTCAGAATTTCAATTTGGAAAAAAAAATTCTTGAGCAGTCTCCACCGATACCACAGATTCAGAAACTGCATTAAAGATATTTCAACATTTTGGGTGTAGTTCATTTTAACAGCTTGCAGGCATAGTGTATTGTATATTGCTCAATAATCCAAAAAGAACATCAATTATAACAAGAACATGTAATAAAAATAACCACAACAAAAACAAAGAATTTCTGTTTTAATGAGCTGACGGCTTTTTACATTTGAAAGAGCTTAGGAACAACAAGAAAAAGGTAGCAGGCTTTAGAAATTCAATACTTGAAGAACTCAGTATTATTTCAGCATTATAAGAAGCATATCTTGTTGATTGTGATTTCCAATAGTTCAATAAGTAGTGGAGAGGAATCGTATATCAAAAGAAGCAAGGGGATGTGATGATTCATACGTTCCAGAACAAGACATAAATTAACATTTAGAAGCGACATTTCTTCCTTTCTTTTTGCCAGTTATAGACTGATCATTCTAAAAATATACACAGTTCTTGCGTAAATCTGGAAAAAATATCTCAAAACTATCTTATGACTTAAATGGGATTCACACTCCCGAGGATCGGGGAGGGAGGGGGGGGGGGGAGGATTTTAAAAATATCATTAGTATAACTTTGAAGCAGTTGGTGACCCCCTAAAAGAGTCTCACACTTGGAGCAGAGGTAATCCATTGCCAGCCAGACGCCGAGTTGGTGAATTTATCAGTGTCTCTGAAGCTTCATTTTTTCCCCAAGCCCAATCCTATCAACATGACGCCATCTGATTTTAGTATAACTTGGTGCACGTGTTGTGTCTGCTATAGTCAACTCAAGGTTTTGGTAAGAATAGTTTTGTAAATGGTAGACGGTACATTGTCACTTTTTCTAGTTACGATTCATTTTCTCCGAACAAACAGTCTAAAATTCAGGTCGTTGAAATAGGGGTAGAATGGACGTCAAAAACGAAAGAAGAGAAACAACATACTAAAAAATAAACGATAATATTAAAATCCTGCTTTGAGATTTTCTCCGTGTTGTGATAACATGATATTAACATGATACAAATAAGCTCCTGAATCTGGATCCCGAAAAAGGGTACATGGACCCCCCCCCCTCCCCTCACAATAAGACACATTAAAAAAAAGCCCGCTCTACAAAATCTACAAATGCCAAAACAACAACAACAACAACAACAAAAAACAAAACAAACATCATCAGCAGAAAAAGCAACACACACCGCCGTAGATGGCTAGCGGATCTTCTTGCGCACACGTGCCAAACGTTTTCATTGTGAGATCTCGCAGAATGGCAACCGCCAATGGATCTTGGGTTTGGGCTTTAGATTTCCGTTGTCTAGCAAACCGAGGGTGTATCTCCCTACTGCTGGAGTGCGATTCAAAATTCAAACCCTCTCTGGTTTACGGATGACATCTTTTCTACCAACGTATTTGATCGTTTGTTCAGGTATCTTTCTCCTGCCGGCCTCCCTACCTTCTGGTGCCGAAACCACTTGGCTTGCCTTAGAAATGGTTTATTTGTGTGTTAAGTAAGGCTCTGATTTGTACACGCACATTCACCCATACACACGCACACAAACAAACAAACAAACAAACAAACAAACAAACAAACAAACAAACAAACACACACACACACTCACCAAAAAGGAAACTAGACAAGGTGTGTCGAATGCTGTACATGTATGAGTGTCATTCTAGTCCAAAAGCTCTTAATGTATCTTTTGGAGGTTTGCAGCTCTTTGCCATTGTCGGTTGCATATAGGAGTTTTCAGGCACGCACCTAAATTGTTTTGGTAGCTTGGCTTATAGGATAAATGTAAACAGGAGGTATATTTTCCCGCCATGTGAATAATTTGGTCACAAGGGTCTTTACCAAGTAAGGTTGTCAGGTCATCTAATGCTTTCAGTTTGACTGTTTTACACCCTAGTCTGCTGGTGGTCAGATGATTCCTGGCACTGGTGTATTGTGGCGAACACAGGACTCCTCATAGTAAAAAAAATACGATGACGCTTAATCACAGCGCCGAATCTGTGGTTGTTTAATTTCGTCAGGCCGTACTCTGAAGGGTTAGCGTGACCAGGGTGAGCTACCGGTTAGTCTACCTGCGCTCACACCACAGCAATTTTACACAGTTTTGTTTCAAAGCTCACCAAGACAACAGAGCTGTCAACACACAGGAATGGTTCCATCAATATCATTGTACTTTCACTTTCACTGTCTGGTTTGTGAAAATGCGATAAAAATATCAAGAATAGTTTGAGTTTTTTTTTTTAGCTCCCATGGACCGAAGACAACATTCTTATCTGTGGTAATGAGGGTAATGTACACCCACTTAGACACAAAAAAGTTAAAGTTACAATCAAAGTTGTCAGTGAAATTCACTAAAACTCTCTCAAAGGAAAGACAGCACGTGTATGTATCCCCATTGTAAAGAATATTTTAGTCGGAAGAGTAGTACTCCATTCGTGCATTTTCATTGAACGACCAAATCTTATGTGCTTGTGACGGCATTCCGAACATAAAACATTTTTTATTATATAGTTTTTGTACAATACAGTAAAACGAGCTTATCCTTGGATGTTTTTTCAGTGCATGCAGCGTCGATGTGTAATGTTTTTGTCATCTGGAGCGAACGTGCGCTCATTATAATTATGACGAAGTTTCTTCTTCCTGCGATGGCTTGGTCTCGCTATTTAGCTCTTAGTACACGGCACGCAAGTTCACAAGTTCTGCCAGCTCACAGCATTGATTCACCCTATTGTTCTTAGCCATAACATAAATCTACCAAGCTTTAGGCAATTCACCTTATCTATTATGAAACTAATATTTACTGCTTGGATTATTCATTTCTAGATCTATCTTGACGGGAGATTATTTTTTAAAAAAATATTGAAATAGGTTAAACAGGGGCGGAGTTATGGGGAGGTTTGTGATACTAAAAGCCTAGATGACACAATTGACTACTTACAAAGGAGAAACAACCCCCCTTGCGTACATTATGAGTTTTTTTCTTCAATAGACCGGTGACGAACAGACACGATGTCAGAAAACACGGTAATCTTTTGGCGTAGTTTGACTGTCGAATGTTCACCCTATGGGTTGGCTGTGTCTGACCAGATCTCGGGCTTTTAAAAAGTGTGGACGAGGTGGTCTTCTTCTTACTGTTGCAAATCCCCGGTGGCATTTCTGGAATTGTCATCCGGTGTTTTATTTTATAAATGAATAAAAGGACACTTTTGCAATGGCGTACGTGCCTTAGCCTTTCTTTTCAGCCGCATTTGAACTTACGTCACACGTTCGTACACCCGCACATGAGGCAAAGTTCATTCAGGGATGAGGTATGATTCTCGCGTGTGTGTTCTAGTAGGAATCTTCAGCCAACTTGTTAAAAAGGAACCACGGGCTGATAGATTTTCTCCTAGTATCAAAACAATCGTTTCATCAACAAAGATGACATTCATGTACACAGTGGCGGTGGGTGGACCAAAATTTGGGTGGGGCTTAGGTTGCTTCCAGTTTTTTACCACCAAATAGCAAGCAATAAGAATTAAACAGTGATGATTTTTCTATACTCACGGTGAGCCACGGCAGTTTGAGAACCATTCAAACGAGAAGAGTTGCCCTTGTTTTCAATCTCTTTGTTCTTAGTTAAATTCTTGTTGATGGTGGGGACGAAACCGATGCACCGCCAAATTTCCTCTAATTAGTTTTCGTGTGATGAAAAAGTTATAACTGTTAAATCTCAGCAGCACAAACACAAACATGCACACACAGCACTTCAAACATAATACTTCTATGAGCTGGATTAGGCCGTGTAGTCGAGAAAGTTGAACGCACCCAACAAAGAACCAATGAGCGCATAGGTATCTGTGTCAGTAGGGGGAAGTGTGTCGTAAACTTTCACCCCACTGTCGGGGCTAGGAGAGTGTGAGCCCTCGGTACAGGGTTATTTTTTCCCAGTCTTTTACCTTTTTACAAGAAGAGTTTCATTAAGAATGGACTGTGGGAAAAGGGCTCATCTTTGCTGAGCCCTAAAGACATTTGATTGGCTGCTGGGTTACTATAGTTGTAAGCGGGGACAACAGTGATTGGATAAGCGAGCAAGCCGCCAGGTTGATTACTCTCTGTTCATTGTGTGCGGTCATAACGGTTTCAACTGCTTATTTCATTATGGAGAAACTTTCATTTGCTTTGGGATACAGTTGGGGTGGTGGTTGGGGAGGGGGTAGGGGCTCAATCCCGTGAGCCCGTCACTACCCGCCGCCACTGCATGTACATGAATCGCAAACACTGTTCCACGGGCGAATAACCAGGCACTGGATGAGAATCAGATACATGTAACTCAATATCTCAACAACCATTCTTCAGACTTTGATGAAATCTACACGCTTGAAAAAAATGTCTCCGTACATACACAAAAACTCTTTGAAATACTAACAGCTTTAGAAATGAGAAAAGCCTTAAGTGCGATAAACATAGAGTAAATTAGTTGAAATCCAAAACATTTTGCACACACAGTAACACGGGCAAATATAATCGCATTAAGATCGGGTTTTCGCAGACTGTGAGAGGGAAACTTGGTCTTTTCTTTTGGTTGGGAATATTTCGTGGTTACCTTGAGGACACTGCCGATATGTAGTTTCAAAAGTTTCGATTACGCCGTGACCTGCCAGCCTGTAGCTGATGTGTGCAGGAGCGGCCAGTGTGATTTAATGACTTCCAGATGACGCTGAGCTGAGAAACTAAGAGACTCGATTTCGGCCAGTTTTCGGCGCTGTGAATGGGATGTGTTGGTGTAAGGTTTTGGCAGCTGAGAAGGGGGGGGGGTAAAAGTCTGTCAACATTTTTTAGCGCTTTGGAGCTCACATAACTGACATTCATTTTTGTACTGGTGTGGCATACGGTAGGAAATATCTGTTAGGTGGCTGGACCTGTAGTGACTAACGTTTCTTGGCAGTTTCAGCTCCTATGAAGCTGTTTTTTTCTTTGCCGATCAAAGCAGAAAAATATACGCGGCACTTGGGGAGAGGACAGAGGATGGTAAACAGGATCATGATGAGATTCTTCCTGAAGTTGGCATTTAGCATGATGTAGCTAATGAAGATGAACAGGACGGCAATTATCTGACACATCATAGCACCCGAAGCCACAGAAAGAAATAGATATGTCTCTCGGGTAAAGGGACCATAGTCTGGCAGAGTATCTATAAGGACAAAGTTAGTGCTGACAGGAAGGTACCTGATCACAAATAGTCCGGAACATACGAGCACCATGATGGTCATCGAACGTTCATTTTTCTCACGAGCTGCGTTGGTGTTACGAATGTCTCGCATTTTCCGTTTGTGCCGAACGAGTGTGACAATGGTAGCTATGTTGACGGCAGAGGTGAGAACGAGAGATTGGTGCAGCATTAGGCACATAATGACGAATTGCAAAGTAGTGAACATATCATAATATTCCATGCCAAGCTGACTCAAACCCACACCGTGTGTCACCGGTTCATACATAACTATAGTGTAGCTGTGCACACTGAAAGACACTATCAGTACGCCAAGTGAGGTGAACTGCGGGTGGTTGAGCAAGAAGGAAGTCTTGGCCCTCAGGGGAAAAGCTATCGCAATGAATCTTTGCGTAGCAACGATGAGATTCAGGACTTGGGCGCTTCGACGGCACGAAACTGATAAGTATAAACCAAACCAAAGCATCACGTGACCATTTTCAGGAATTTGTTCGCAGCCCGGGGTCATGTTGCAGAGGTTGAACAATGGTAGAAAAGCCATATGAGCGGCATCGGCCAAGTTCAAGACCACTAAGTAAATAGTGGTTGCGTTCCGTTTCCGTTCCAGCAAAAAGATGATAGCACTGAGAATGAGGCAGGCAGAAGCTGTGGGTTCTCCAATTGCTTTGACCAGGGTAAAGATGCCACCCAGATAGAGATATTGTTCTCTACTGACTATACCATCGTTAAATTGCAGATAATCAAAGATAGTGGCATTAGGTTCCATCTTGTGAGAACGGGAGGGAAAATACTATGCCAAACCTCTCACAATATTTGTGTAGATGCTATTGTAAGCTTGTCTATTAAAATTTGAACTGTTGCCAGTTCATAAAATGTCTATTATGGTTTAGAAGGCAGTGTACTTATTCACAAAGATATCAATTTATTCTTTGCTATGAATATTCAGTATTCATAATTTTCAAACAATCATTTTGTCATTTAAAAAATAAATTTATATTCTCTAGATTTCTGCTAAATTGTAAATAATAAGGAGTTAAGGTAAGTTACCCATTTTTAACGTCTTCAAACTATGTGAGGATAGCCTTAGATCATTTCAGCTATTTACTGGTAGCATTTTATGCAATAAGTGGATTGGGACAGTTTTGCTTCTGAAAAGCTTCCTGAACGCTTTTAAGTTGCAGGGAAACTCGACAACAAATCCTCTTCAACAAAAATAAAGACGGCAAGGTCTTTGTCATGGGCCCCTCCCCGTTACTGAAAGAGTCATTCGCACAAGGTAATACCTCATATCAATGATGGTTTATTGTGGATCTGACTTGTTCTAAGGATGTAATGTTTGATTTTGCAGATGCCATACTTCGAATTGAAAATGTCAAGAGCCCTAGTACCAGCCGCTTCAAGAACCGTCGACGTTCCAGCTCTGCCAGTCAGTTACAATGGATTGATATTCAACGAAAGTTGTATTTTCTTTGTATTTGTCCTCCATTTTTTGGCGATAGCTAACAGATGAATCTGAGAGAAAGGTCACCTTGCCCTCTCTCAAGAACACCAGCATAAGGGTATTAGTTTATGCGAACTCGAAAGCATGTTGTATTACCCCTCCCCCCGTTTTATTATTCGAGGTATAGTTTGTCCTAAGAGTTTAGGGTTAATTAAGAGGGAGTCTGTTTTTGTCTACTCAACTTACAGTTCTAAATTCTAAGTGTTTCTATAATTTCGACTTGCACATCGGCGGTGAGCTGCCTATGAGAATATTTGAAGGGATAGTGTAAGTACTTTAAATTCACTTCGTTCGTTTTTTCTGCTTTAAAGAGAGAACATCAGAAACTTAATTCCGGGCTTACATCTCTCTCTCTCTCTCTCTCTCTCTCTCTCTCTCTCTCTCTCTCTCTCTCTCTCTCTCTCTCCCCCCCCCTCTCTCTCTCTCTATATATATATATATATATATATATTTATATATATATTCGTTTGTTCTAATGTTTCAGTCTTTATTTTCATGTTCAAAGCATTTCTGTTCCAAAGACGGGCTTCTCAAGCAGATACTAGAATTTAACTTCATTTTTCAGATACTATTATTGACAGGATGACTTTTCCGTGTAAGATAGATTAATTCGTATTCAGTTTTTGATCAGCACCAATATTTCGTGTAATAACTTGAGACTTTAATACAAATTGACCAAATGCATGTTTTAAAAAAGGAATCTTATTTGTTAATCTCTTTTGCCCACGGGACATCATACAAAAAGTAGGCTATTTTTTTTATTCCATATCGATTAAATAACCTTTTTACGGGAAAAGAAAATAGACAGTCTAATTCTCATGTCCAAAGAAAACAACGTAAGTGTAAGATGTTTATGAAGATCTCAAACAATAGATAGAAGTCTAAATAGATATATCAACAAAAACGATAAAATCGTGACAAACAAAAACGGCTCTAAATGTTTTTTCTTCTTACCGAACCCATAGAACATGACGCACTTTTATAACAAATAATAAGACATATTATTGTCTACCACAAAATTTCACCAGATCAGTCCAAAATTCTCAAAATAATAATTTTGTTTTCAGCCCCAAGGCCAGTATATTGGCCTGTCCATTGTATGTGGCAATTAAAGCAGTGCCGATTCATCGGTCAAACCATGTACATGTAAATTGCCGTACGATCGACATTTTAGCCCAAGTTGTTTCCTGCTTTTCTTCAAGTACCACATAGGAAAAAGATATCGTCGACCATGCTTCGCCGCTTAATTTTCTCCTTTAAAAAAACCTATTTCATCCTGTGATTTTCCATCTGTTGCAGTTACCTGAGTAAAGCTTTTGGCCTCCTACTGTCTCTTTTGCCTTCTCATTTTCCAGAGAAATAAAAATGTTCACAGCCCTCATGTCGAATCATGTGTCCTAGGAAATGAATTTGTCTCTTCCTAATTGTTAGTGTATAATATGGTCGTCCCATGTTAGCTTCATTCTGCATTACCCCTATCTACCATTTCACTCGATTTCTTTTCACTTTATGCAATCTCCAAAAGTTTCCTTTGAAAAATAATATTTACAGCCGTAGAGAAGGGATTGACCTGACATAAACCTTTGAAATTCTTTAAAAAAAATCGTCGTTAATGTGTTTCTAAAATAAAAAAAAGATTGGACTCATTTTGTTAACACTATGTATTGCTATTACAATTCATGGTTTTCTCTTCTTTTTGTCGTACTGTTCCTTTCTGGCGTATGTGGCGTTGTGGTTAGGCGCTTCGCCGTCACACACAGGAGACATGAGTTCGATTTAGATGTAAGGAGAATTTTTGGGGTGTCTGGTCTTTTTGCTAAGTCATTGTGTCTTAAAAAAAATTAGATTGGGTTGGCCCTGACGAGCAGGGTTGAAGCAGCCCGCTTCATAAACGATACCGAAGGTGGTTGTTGACTTCTATAATTACAATGTCGTCAGATGTGTTATACTTTAACTTTTGAGCTTGTCTTCTCAGACTGCTTATAAGATTTCAAATAGGATTTTTTTTGCTTTTAAAAAAATGTATCGTGTATTCTATTCCTTTAACATCTAAACGTAATGCCCTACCTTCATTCATGTCACAAAACTTTCTTAAAGCAGCAGAAAGCTTTTTTCTCCTCTAGATTTGCAATAAAATCTGCGTCATCAGCATATCTCGTGTTTATGATATTTTTTTACATTTACTTGGAAACTTGGCCTTACTTCTGTCTTTCCCCCCCAAAAAAATGTATTTGATAAAATTAAAATCTGGTAACATAGTACAGTCTTGCTTAGCTTCTTTTTCTATTTTCAAGTAGATCTAGTAACAGATTTATAACGGTTCCTAAATCCTTACCATTTGATCTTGTGCCTAATTCATCTAAAATGTAAAAGATTTTTGAATAATCAATAAACCACAACCAAAACTCTTTCTGTGCTTTAATATATCTTTCCCTGATAGGACGGATATAAGATTTAATTTGTTGTTTAACTACAACTGTCGAAAGTGAATTTTCTCAAACTTGTTAAAAGTGACTTCTGTTAGCCTTCCTTAGTCCTGATACCCCCCCCCCCCTTTGCCGACCCCCGTGAGAGATCAAAGCTATTATGTATGGGTTCTTCTGTTGCTTTCATCTCATTGCTGATTAGGAAAACCTCCGGCTCTGTTGTTTCTTCTGATTCTGGTTTTGATATGCAAATAACTTTTGATAGAGTTATAAGATCAAGAATGCTGATGGTGTATCCTATCGAGCTTAATACGTTATTAATAGTATCAATTGTTTATTCAGATTATGCGAGTGGTTGTGAGTCTGCTTGTGAGTGCAACATACTATTAAGTATTATATATGAGGAAGAGAGAATGTAGGGGAGAGTGTGTGTATGGGTGAGAGTGCGTGTGTGTGCGTATCTATCTATCTATCTATCTATCTATCTATCTATCTATCTATCTATCTATCTATCTACAGTATTAGTAAGTGTTTTTACAGCACTTACAAAACAATAAGGTCATGTAAGTGCCGAAGATTAGAGGTGTTACAAGAGAGTAACATACACAAAAAAGAAGGAGGGGAGATAAAGGCAATACATGTTTGATAGGAAAGAAGAAGCAAACCACACCAGAGCACCTGCCAACCACCCACATATATATTACACACTCACACACACACCCACACATACACACACACACACACACATATATATATATATATATACATATATATAAATTTAATATATATAATATTATATATATGTGTTTGTGTATGTGTGTGTGTGTGTGTGTGTGTGTGTGTGTGTGTGTGTGTGTGTGTGTGTGTGTGTGTGTGGTAAAACACCAAGCCAATGTGCCAGCATCTGGGCAATAAATATTTATTTGATCTTGTCTTAGTGTAAGCTTCATCCGTTCTGATAGATCTAGTGCTACTAGATCTCATTGAAATGATATTGATTCTGGCGACGAACCTAATCATTCAAATGACAGTAGTGGTGACAATGAAGCAACAACAAACCCTTGGATGCTCGCTTATTCCACTCTGGATCAGAGGGTCAGCGAGATCTCCACCCCTTCACACACGACACGAGATTTGAGATCTTAACATTTCTAGGACACGCTGCTTATTCGACAACGTTTAAAGACGTATTGCTTTACACAAGCACAATTTCGTTATTCACACAGTTTGCAATTCCGTATTCTTCATTTGAAACTTAAATCTTATTGTGTTGATAGGGACGTTAGACCTGGACCATTTCACCATTTTTAAAAGATGAAATGTGCAAATTTGTGTTTCTAATTGTGAGTAGAGGTTTGAAATATACATGGAGTATTGTGTTTTAGTCTGCAATTCCTGATCGGACCTATGTGCCTTCTATGCCCTTGAAGAGTTAAGAATGCGCGTTCGTCCTTTACCGTCAGGTCTACACAATTGCTCTTGTGCAAAATTTTGTTGCTGATACAAACACGTTTAATGTACGAAGCAGAAATCAAAATCCGACAGCCCACGTGGATGTGAACTCGAGCCACAAAGTAGGTGAGTGTGCATGAAACGTTTTCTGTATTTTTAAACCAGATCCTAAAAATAAAGGTCATTGCATTCCACCGACTTAAACCCTCTCGACTATTTTCTTTGGAATTATTTTATCAGGCAGATTCTACAATAACACCATATAAACAGTCGAAAATTCAGTATTGGAAAGAGGTCCTAAGAGAAGACCCAGAAACATGCCACAGGGTTATTCAAAATCTTTTACGGCGTATTTAGAGCTTGCCTGTTGAGAAATGGTCAACATCT